GTGCTGTTCTATATGGAGTATATCGTATAAAAAATATTATTCCTTTGCAGATTTATACATTTTATGTCCATCCAAATCAATTTTCTTTCTTTTGGTTTCAAAAATAGTTCCCTCGTAGTGATCATCGGACGGGGGTATGTGTACCACGAAATTTCCCCATGTTCCAATAACGAATCGTACATATTTTTCTTTTTTTTAGCCAAAAACGCTTCTTGCATAACAACCATGGGAGTACTACAGCATGGTATACACCACGGCTGATCTTGCATATGGGCCTTAATGTTACAAGGCTCTAAAAACTTCTCCTTCCTACCTTAACAACAACCTGAGTGACACACGAAGAAGAGTAAGAGGAGGAAGAGGAGAAGAAGGAAGTAAAAGGAAAGAAGAAGTGTGCGATGATGATGGTGATGAGGACGAGGAAGGAGAGGATAGAAGAAGAAGGAAGTAGAAGGAGAGAAAAAGTGTGCGATGATGATGGTGATGACGAGGAAGGAGACGAGAGGAGTAGGAAGAAGTAGAAGGAGAGAAGAAGTGTACGATGATGATGGTGATGAGGACGAGGAAGGAGAGGAGAGGAGTAGGAAGAAGTAGAAGGAGAGAAGAAGTGTGCGATGATGATGGTGATGAGGACGAGGAAGGAGAGGAGAGGAGTAGGAGGAAGTAGAAGGAGAGAAGAAGTGTACGATGATGATGGTGGGAGAACGATGAAAGAGCGGCGAATAGTAGGATAAAGGAAAATAGAGGAGAGGAGAGGAGAGGAGAGGAGAAGAAGTTAAGGAGGAAGAGGAGTAGAGAAAGATGAAGAAGAGAAAATGTTGAGATAGAAGGATTAGAGGAGGAGGAAGAAGAGCAGAAGATGACGAAGGAGAGGGTGGATGAGAGAGAAGAGGAGAGAAGGTGGAGGAGAGAAGAGGAGGAAAGAAGGATGAAGTAAGGAGAAACGTATGACAATGAAGGTCGAAGAGGAAGGAGAGGAGAGGAAGTATATAAAGAAAAATAAAAAAAAGGAGAAGAAGAAAAGAAGAACAAGATACATAAGAAAAAGAATAAATTTATTGTAAGCCGCCAAAAAAACAGCCACCGACAGACA